TTGACTCTTTCTTGTTTGTCATTTTTTCTTATGAGAAGTACTAGTGCATGCATGAATGAAACTTTCTTTGCTCTATACAATTATTTTTTTTGCTTAGTATATATAGTGGGGAGGCCTACAAGGCCTGTAGGCCATGTCAGGCTTTCTTATTTTTGAAAATGGGCCGGGCTTGGCCTACAAATAAAGCCTTTAATCGGCCAGTAGGTCAGATAGGCTGAATTTTTTTTTACGTAAGCTTGGGCCAGGATGGCCAAAGCCCAGCCCAGCCCATTTACACCCCTACTCTCAACCATAACCTTCAACTCAACCAATCAAATCCACAATCGATATAACAGGTAATCTCCTAAAGGATTGAATACAACCAAAATTATACAACCAATCTCGCTTCAATTGCTCTGTTTCGAAACAAAAACTCGCGCATCTCAACCACCAGCATGGACCACAGATAACCACGATCATCAGCGGCGCCACCGAGATGTACCAACACAATAATCATAACCGATTATACGGAAATCCATATAAAGATAACAGAACTCGAAAAAAAAACAAAAATATAACTTACCTTATCAGATTCACGACCAGATTGAATAACGGTTCCTTGCAGATGTAGCAATTCCACTGGCCTCCATCAAAACGGAGACCGAAACATCGACAGAATCTCCAATTAACCATCCTAAAAACCAGATCAAGGTTCGATCCATGCGATATGAACCGAAAATTTGCCTTTGACTGAATCAAAGGACGGTTTGGACGGAGAAATTTGCTAGGTTAAAGCGAATGCGCCGATTCCGATTTACGCGGCAACGATGGAATGAACGAGGGAAAAATGTTATGATCGTTTTATATAGTGGAATCTGGAGAAAATAAACGGTTGTGATTGCTTGGCAACAAATGGAGCCAACGGTGCAGATGGGCTGAGTTAGTTGCGCCAATGTAAATGCCGAATCGGCGTGCCATCTGTTGTTAAATAAGGAATTTGCGGTCACAAAGAAAAGAAGGTTCTCGATGACCTAGATATTTTCGCCAACACGTGTTTTACGTTTCGGGGTTTAATATTAGGAAATAATTTTATTTACTGTATATATATACGGATAGGATATTGTAACACACAAATAATGTTACGCACAATGTTACGACCACATCTTAACCGTTGATTTCCGTCAATCAACGGTTATCATTTATTGCGAATTAATAATTAATTAATAAGCTTGATTTGAAAAATGATAACCGTTGATTGACGGAAATCAACGATTAAGATGTGGTCGTAACATTGTGCGTAACATTATTTGTGTGTCACAATATCCTATCTCATATATATAAGGTATATAAAAGTGTGTAAGATTTATTCATTTTTTTGTACATAAAAGATGATTTTATGAGGTAGGATATTATTATTATCAAATATTTTTATTATTAATTACTACTACTTTTTATTGAATCCTATTTTTCAGTCCGTAATCTCTAAATGATTTATGAAAAAAAAAACCTTTTAATATATTTCTGAAAATATATAATTATGTTAGAGTAATAATATATTAGTAATAAGAATATTTGATAATAAAAATATCTTATCTTTAATTTTATATCACATAATAAGAATAGGATCCGTTTACAAATTTTTTTTGCACATTACACTAAGTATGACTGGTCGTACACTGCATGATTTTATGAGGTAGGATATTATTATTATCAAATATTTTTATTATTAATTACTACTACTTTTATTGAATCCTATTTTTCAGTCCGTAATCTCTAAAAGATTTATGAAGAAAAAAATCTTTTAATATATTTATGAAAATATGTAATTAAGTTAGAGTAATAATATATTAGTAATAAGAATATTTGATAATAAAAGTATCTTATCTTTAATTTTATATCATATAATAGGGATAGGATTTTTATATTATATAATAGGGATAGAATTCGTTTACAATTTTTTTTTGCACATTACATTAAGTACGACCGGTCGTACACTGCATGATTAAAGTAGGACCGGTCGTACTTAATGTAGTTTGTAAGAATTTGTAAACAAAAAAATTTGTAAATATAACCTGACCCTATATAATATAAGAAACATCACACGCTTTTTATTTTTATGCTATAGCTTTTTTTTTTGTGAATTTCACAATTGGGTCATTATGGTCTAATTTACCTTTTGTGGATAAGCCCATGGGCTGACCTCTGTTAGTTGGGCTTTAAATCAGTTCTTTTAAGAAAAATAAATAAATAAGAACATCACAATTTGTACCCAGATGGTAAAAGTAAAAGTCTCACCGATGGGAATTTTGTTTTGGCTGGGCGCACAAAACATTGAATAAGTTGAAAGAAAGAGATAGAGAAAATAATTCGAAGAGAAAGAAAAAAAAATTCAATTGTCACATGTTTAATGGGAGCAGCGTGGTAGGTTGGAATCACTATAAATTTTTTCCACCTATAGGAGGTAATATTTAAATTTTGAAAGATGGTGAATTGTTATTTAAATGAGAATACTTTAACTCGTTTTTAATTATATCTAAATATTTATAATTTGTGAAGAAATATATATGTGAATAAGGGAATCATGAAGATTTAGCTAATGATTATGAATTTAAAATATTTTGTATATAAAGAAGCTCGAATATAATTTTTCATGAAATATTTTTGGTAAGAGGTGAAAAAATTTTCTTAGGAAAATGGGGTGAAAAAAATTATTTGTCTATATTTGATAAGAGGTGAAGTAAAAATATGGCTGAAATTTTTTTTCCCTTCATTTGCTTTTTAATGTTAAATAATTGGGGAAGATTATCATGGAAGGGGTGGAATTGTTTTTTTTTTTCATATGGTGGGAAAATTAACTCAATATTTAGGAAAAAAATTGGCCTACCAAACACCTTTTGGTAACTTACCCAGAAAAAAAAAATTCCATCATATTCTGAAAATTATTGTTTCCCGATAAAAAAAAAATTCCTTTACCAAATACCCTCTAAAGATCGGCTCTTTTTAATATTGTTTTCATTCAACTGAGTTATCTCCAACTTAAGTTCGTACCTTTTTAAGCTTATTGCCGATTTATCTGAAGATGCCATAGTCTATGCACATTACCATTCTTCAAATTTGATACAAATATTTTGTTTTGCACCTCCTATTATTATAATTTACATCTAAATATTAAAAATAGGTTGACAAGAATATCTAATCGTTGAATTATTATAATCAGTCTTGTTATTAAAACACATGGATTTAAAATATGCTCCTTGTTTCCTTTATGGATATTTAACAATAATAATTAAGTATTACTGTCATATAATAAATCAAATGAAAATGAAAATTCAATGCTATGTTGCACCGACACTGATACGGGACACGGGATACCACATGATACGACACTCCGACACGTTAATTTTAAAAAATGTTAAATTTCGACACGTTAGGACACATTTTGATATTATATAATATTTTTAATTTATGTAGTGTATATTATATTTAATATTCAATAATTTAACAAAAAATAAAGCTAAACTTATAATATCCATCAATTTTGCAAATAAATATAAGATATCCCAAATATTTATATTAAACTCGAATAAAATAGTAATAATAATTCAACGAATCTAATAGTTGAAACTCAAAATGCAACGCAAGTACGCAACGTAACCTTTGAACCTTTTTTGAGTCTTTGCAACGAGTATTGAAGTGTCGGAGTGTCGGTGAGTATCGGGAAGTGTCGGACACGACACGTTAGGGATTTTGAAGTGTCAGTGCTTCATAGATTCAATGTACATGAAATTCCCAATTTCAATGTTCACAGAAGAAATTAGTGTTATGATCAATAAGAGGAAAAAAAGTAAAACAATCACACTAGGCATTTTCTATTTTTCTAATGGCTTTTTTTGGGTCTAACCGATCTCCTTTTAATGAGAAGCTAGGTCAAATATTAAAAATATAAAAACTCTTAAAAAATAGCTTTCCTAATGAATCAAAATTAAGAAATTGAGCTTTTTAATAAAAAAAACTTGGGAGTTTCTTTACCTTACCGTTTATCCTTTTTTTTATTCAATTTTTTACTCTCATGCGTAACATTTTTTTTATTTCTTCCCCAACACTTGCTCAACCTGTATGAACTCAGGAGGAGACAAGAATTGACATATACCTTACGCATATGGGTCATCCTTTGAATTTGAACGTCATTTATCCTATAAGGCTCAAGGTCACAGGCAAGGGAAAAGAACCAAGACGTCGAGCATGTTAGAGACCTTTGCACCATTCAATTTGTAGAATTTTTGTTAAATTGCAAATTGTTCAAGTCCAAGTAGTTGTGAATAAGGGTGTAAATGCACTGAATCAGTGGCGGAGCCAGGCTCTTACCAGAGCTCGGGCCAAAAATTATATGTGTATTTTTTTTTAATTAGTTCATATTATAATATATTTAAATTATATTAAATATAAAATACCTGAATAGACAGTATTAAAAAGGTTATAATTTTATTACATATTTTTTAATTTTATTAAATAAGTGAAAATGGAACACATAACTTAATACAACTTACCAAAATCTCTCATCAAATATATTTTATTTTTTTGATAGGGCCAAATTATAATTTTAGACGGGGCCAAATTATAATTAATTATATAATTATACATGATAAATACAATTTGTTAAAATTTAGCCCGGGCCGAGGCCACCCCCAGCTAACATGTGGCTCCGTCACTGCACTGAATCAAACTAGACATTGGTCTTAATAAGTTAGACCTATATAAAATGTTTTGAGTTTGACCTAAGCTATTTGCTTGGTATAAGATAAATTATAAGTCTGACTTGACTTATATCTAAAAAACAAAATGTGTCTATTAGCATATTTAAGTCTAACAGAATCATATTTTTATTACCTATCCAAAATTAGAAAAAATATTATTATTTTATTAATTATTATTATTTTAATAAAAATAAATAATACGATATACATTACACTAAGTACGACCGGTCATACACTGCATGATTAAAGTATGACCGGTCGTACTTAGTGTAGTTTGTAAGAATTTGTAAACAAAAAAGTTTGTAAATATAACCTGTCCCTATATATATAAGAAACATCACACGTTTTTTATTTTTATGCTATAGTTTTTTTTTTTGTGAATTTCACAATTGGGTCATTATGGTCTAATTTACCTTTTGTGGATAAGCCCATGGGCTGACCTCTGTTAGTTGGGCTTTAAATCAGTTCTTTTAAGAAAAATAAATAAATAAGAAAATCACAATTTGTACCCAGACTTTGGTAAAAGTAAAAGTCTCACCGATGGGAGTTTTGTTTTGGCTGGGCGCACAAAACATTGAATAAGTTGAAAGAAATAGATGGAGAAAATAATTTGAAGAGAAAGAAAAAAAATTCAATTGTCACATGTTTAATAGGAGCAGCGTGATAGGTTGGAATCACCATAAATTTTTCTCACTGTACCGTTGGGATCTGTAAGACCATTATGTTCCCTTTAGGGATGCGTCACTGTATGGGAGATACCCTTAGCTTAGGTACATACCAGACTAAGAGGTATTATGCCTAGCAATAGCAAGACAATAAGTAAGTGCAGTAAGCAATAGGACTCAAAGTAAATGGGCAATATCACGATACATAAGATGCCTTTAAGTTGTGCCCATGGGGGCTATTTATAGGGAAAATGGTGTGAGTTGGTGAGGAGGGGTCAACCCTCCTTGGGATGTACTCCCATGATAGCAGTGTTGGGCGGGTTTGGCGTGTTTGGCGCTGCCATTTGGGCGGCGCTGCGCCTTCTGCGTCTGGCGATGTCAGCACTTGGCAGAGGGTAGTTTTCCCTTTATGGTGCATGTGGCTGGCGCCTTTGGTGGTTAGCGTCCCGAGATGGGACATTTCGGTGTATCCCTTGGACATGCTGCAAGGTTGGAGGGCGCGAGAGTCCACGTCAGCCCTTGC